TGGGTCAATCGTGTCTTGTAATGTATGTAACTTGGTTACGTTTAGTCTGCTGGAGACAGATTTCAAATCTCTAGTAGATTATGGTCATTTAATCATGAAGTACATGGTTGTATGTGCGTCTTTCTGGGCCCTGCACATAAATGGACGTCGATGATCGTAAACTTTTATTAGTCATTTTATATTTTTTAATATTCTATGCATTACAGTACAAAGGAATCGGGTATATTAACTAACGATTATATTAACGATTATGTTACATTATATTAAATATTGTAGAATTCAGTAATAATAATTGCAAACACCAATGCACACGAAGGAGTATTTCAAACTTTCTTTTGAACGCAGTATAATGAAACATTGTGCTTTGTTGTACAATGAAACAAATATTATAATATTATAACAAGAGTATTATTATATAATGGCAATGTTACTATAAACATGTTAAATATTAATGTTATAAACATATTAAATATTAATGTATTTACACAATACATTTCAGGTGGCATGCAATCAGATCCGAGCAGCGACGTGTCAGCGATCTACGTAGCAAAGTACAATCGTTTCGTGGATAACATCCTGGGAAGAATTAACAAAATTTTGCGCAGCAATTACGATCCTGTGACGGTGAAACTGACCAATCCGAACGCCAAGTCGAAAACGAACAAGCAAAAGGGCAAAAATAAGTCGAAGAAGAACAGCGGCAAGAGCGAGACGAAAAAGAACAATTTGGAACTTGCCGCGGTGCCCACTGAGAAAATTTCTGTGGAAGTTCTTCCAGAAAATACACAGGTAGCTAATTGTTTGACGGAGGAGGATGTTTGATAAATTGTTTTAGATAATGGAAGAGTATTAGTAGATAAATTATTGTAGATAGGAGAATAATTATAGGGAGACTATTTTATTTTATAGAGTATTAGATAAATTATTGTAGATTGTGAAAGAATGGTGGGTAAATTATTGAACATTATGGAAGAATAATGCTGGATAAATTATACTAATATTTTGGAGATAATGGTAGGTTAATAATAGAAAGATTATTTCATATTGTGAAAGAATAATGTTATAAAATTTATTTGAATTATGAATGAATAATAGTAGGTAAATTATTCCAGATTATAAAAGAATAGTACTAGAGAAATTATACAACTATATTACAAATAATAGTAGATTAATAATAGAAAGACTATTTCATACTACAGAAGAATAATATTACATAAATTATTCTAAAGTATGAAAGAGTAATAGTAATAGATAAATAATTTAAGATTACGAAACTAATACTAAATAAATTATTACACTCCATACATTAATAAAATTATAAGTATTAAAGCAAGTATATATATTTAATAATGTAAATAATAATTATATATGTTCATAGAAAACCTTGGAAAATGCAGAAAATATCACCGCATCCGTGAACACGATCGAAAAAGAGGCAGCTACAACTACCATGTCCGAAATTGCAAACAGAGCTATAATGGAATCCATCACAAAATCTACGCACAGACGAACATCTACAGGCAATAAGAAGAATAAAAATCGCGTATCTACGAAAAATAAGACAAAAAATCAAGCTACGAATAACAAAACCAAGGTGAGAATTCGAGAGTAGAGATTGCCATTACATCTACTAATGCAATCTACTAATGCATCTACTAATGCATCTAATAATGCATCTAATAATGCATCTACTAACCCTTGTTAATTTCAAATAAAACAGTTTTTTATATGTAATAATATCTTCCATAGATTTTCATAGAATTAGTAAGCTTGAAACTTATAATAATTTTGCAGGCAACAAAAGCTAGACCGAAAGCACGAGCCACCCTGTACGGGCTCGCGAGTCTTCAAAGATCCGGAGACGTATCGGTGAACATGATGAGCGATCATACTATGATCAAAACGAAATTCACGTTGGGTCCTCTTGTACTGAAAGTTGAGAAGGAATTCGGCAGAACAGCGAAGAAAGAATTAAGAAGTGCGACTGCGACTACGGCTGAAATGTCGGGGAAACTGAGTCTTCGAGTTCTTCATGGCGGTGTTGCAACTTTAAATTCTATCCGAGTGCTGCAACCGAAACAAGTATGTAATTTAATTTATTATAAAAATATAACTTTAAAAAATTAATCTATGTCAAAAGAAATCTTTCAATATTAATGAATAATTTATGAATTCAGGTCCGAGTGGAAAGTAAGGACGACCACGACAGAACGCGTGAATTCGTTTGGAAGCGATCATCCCACATCGCTCATCTGGTTTCAGAAAAATTATCGCTAGCCACGAAATCAATGTTGCGACCTCCGCCCGCCACAGTCACTTCAGCTTAAATTTTACATCATTTTAATCGTTGATCTTGATGAATCCTGCTAACAATACCATAAAATTGGACCATTTTAACGTTACTAGAAATGGTTCTTTATTATGGTACCTTTGTTTCTTATTCTTCAAGTTTGTGGAACGCCATTGCTGAATCTGAAACAAAGAGAAATCATTTCGAATAAATGCATCGACTTTCTTATTAAAAATGTTGATATTGAAAAATGGGTGTAACAAGATCATGAAACTTTAATTAACACCTTGAGCATCATTCTAAAGTTATGGATTCTTTCAGTTAATAATTGTACTTTCAACAAATTTTGTTGATTTTAATGAAATAATGGATGTAGATAAAAATTTATATGTTTATCAATTTTTGAATGACAAAGAGCTCAAAGTGTTAAACTGCTTTTGTGAAAATGGGAGCATTTAGAAGCATGAATATGCATTTTCATTACAGGTCAACATCAAGCATTTATTTATTTATTTATTTATTTATATGTAATAGTTTTTACGAATTGTTTGCAAAGTCAGAAGTTGAGGTGTGCTGCGATATTGTGTTATTCTAATTCGCATGTAAATTATCTTACAGATAGTCAGATAATACGTGACAATTGAGCTTACGTTACATTTATCATAATTTCTCACTACATTTTACCGATATCCTATTTACATTTATTTATTGATAATGTACGTTAAGTACACTGCTTAGAATTTAAGTGTCTTCTTTTTTGTACCAGTCTCTATTAATATCGTTATGTTTCTGTCGTCGAAAATATAATTATGAAAATAAATTTTGTATAATATTAATTGTCTATAGTTTTTTAAGCCTCAAAAAAATTCATCATGAAAATATTTTCAAAAATGATTTAATATAAAATTACACATTTTATAAATAAAAAAATATATACGTTTATACAGATTTTATAAGAATAATAAAGTTGTAGTAATAAAAAATAAAATTTAATTTTATTTGCTTAAGATGAATACATTTTTTAAATAAAAAATGAGACTAAAAATACTAGAGTTATAATTTTTGAGTTATAATTTAACGTAATGAATAAAATTAAAGTAGTCGAAGATATGGAATAATTTTATCGCGAATATGTATCGGTATTTATGGCGCCTTGTCTAATATCTAAACAGAAGAAAAATAAAACACTCATATTCGCGATTAATTTTTAAATTAAATCAGCACAAACCATCGCAAAAATAATACATTATTTTAGAGAATTATCGATAAAGTGAAATGTATTTATCAAAAATTAAAAAAACGTGCTACAAACAATTCTTCTACAATGAAAATTTGATAAAATAAAATAAAAAAAACAGAAAATTAACTAGCAATAATCGAGAAGCTTTTTTGTTTAAAATTGAAATAAAATTGAAAGAATTGTTATTAATATTTATCCTCCTCATTTCACATTTTCATATTCGACTTGAATGACCGACAAGAGTCAATTATTTTTATATCCACAATTATCTCTACACTTTTTGCCTATGGCACGTGGTATGGTACACGTCACGTTTGATCATATCTTACTTTTTTTGGAATTGTAAACATGTACCACTCTAATTTTATTTTATCTCGCTCCATTTACATAATTTATATAATCGTGTGTGACCACTTTGAATGTAAACACGGTAGAGCTTCGATTATCCGAGGTAATGTGTCAGGAATCCACCGCAGATAATTGGATAATACGGGAAGAACTCTATAATTTTTCCACTCTGTATCTGCATCTCTCTTTACAATCCTTAATTTCTACAGAATGATTGATGATACCGAAAATTGTTTTACGTAAAGGTTATACGGTCTTGAGAAGCACATAACTTGAGGCAGGATGATTGATCGCGTAAAGGACGCATGAAGGTCATCGACGTTTGTTCTAAAATAGAAAACAATATGCAGTTCCATCTAAAAAGCGTCAATAGTGTGAGTTAGTAGTAAACAAATTTCTTACGTCAAACTACGTGACTCTCGAAACCATTAAACTTGCATGGCATCATCAACACTTTTATAAGTATTTGGGGACTGATTTAAACATCCTTTGTAAATAAAAAATTTGTAAAAAAATACGATTTTTATTTTGTCCATAAAAACTTCAACTTTCTAATAATGAAAGTTCAATAACGTGCATAAAATTAAAGGTTTATAAAATGTTATTTATAAGAGTATTTAAAAATATTTTTTGCAATTCCGCAACAACAGTTCATAAAACTGACCCAGATTGAATAGCGTACGTGCTGTTGCAAAGCTACAGTCACTCGTGAAAGTCTGTACATCCTACAAAATGAATAATAATATTGTATAATAATATATACAAAAAAATATAATATTCCAGACTTTGTACAATAAATAAAAGAAGACTTGAAATTGCAAAACTTCTATAAAATTATTGCAATGCATTTTATATTTAAAAAATTAGAAACTAATTTACCCGTAAAACAAACAATATATAAGACGACACAAATACGTTTGTGAGATGAATAATTAACTTTCTTTTCCCATGCGTTAGAATAGTTTTATATTATTAACATTCGCATGTTGTTACACGAAGTTATATCGTGTATTTTAATGAAAACAGTCTTTCTAGTATGAAAACTTTCGTGAGTGACTGTATTTAAATCTTATCACGCGAGTAACGCGCGGTATATAAATACATGTATAACTTCAATAAATCGCAAAGTAGATTTCTTACGTTTTCCAAGCTACAAAGTAGTTGCGTCCGCGACATCGTCACGGAGACATTGAAGGATTGGTTAATGTTACTGCGTTATGTTTGAACTTTCCTTCATTCTCCCTTCCACAAATAATGTGATGTTATTGACAAAAGGCGACGGTGCATAAGTCCAAGGAGTTGTTTTGTTACATTCCTGCACTGATTGGAAAAATACGGTATTGTGTTAATTTTTTGTTAATATATTTAATACTTGGTTTAATTCTTTTTGCTATGGTCTGCAATTTTTCATCGGATTTCTTCTTTGCTTTTACGTTTGAATTTAACATGATATATCCGAAAAAGAAACGCAAGTCATCAAATGTACTCGCACTATTAATAAGTGATGATTTATAAATAATATACTAATTTTACATCTCTTTTACCTAAGTAAACATAATCTTAGAGTATTTTTATATTTTTTTATCTGTATGTCTTATTCAATTGTCAAACATACAATAAATTTATTACAAATTAATTCTATATAAATAATTTATATTATTTATAATATTTGTGTCTGTGTGTACACTTGCTTTAATAATGAATATTGTTTTTTAGGTTGTACTTATATAACACCTAATTTAATAAAAAACATTCTTTAATCACTTTATATAATGGGTCCTTTAACGACAAGTGCCAGACATGTATTTCATAACTTCTGCACAACTGCTGTGAAGGCTATGTCCACAAATGCAATGTTATTTCCGAAGGATGAACCAAAAGAGATAATACTTAAATATTTGGATGGGAAAGATAATGGCATTGCAGTCTTGGGATTGAATCGACCAACTGTATGCAATGCCCTTGGAAAAACTTTAGTTACTCAATTGACTGATGCTATTTCTTCCATCAAGAGAGATTCTAAGATGCGAGTATTGATTATTCGTAGCATGGTTCCAAAAATTTTTTGTGCTGGTGCTGATTTACGAGAAAGGGCAGTAATGGATACTACAGGAATTGCAGAATTTGTTGCAAGCTTAAGAAGTATGATGAATAATATAGAAGCTTTACCGACACCAGTGATATCTGCCATTGATGGTGCTGCATTAGGAGGAGGGTTAGAACTAGCTCTAGCCACAGATATAAGAGTTGCAGCATCACAAGCTACTATGGGTCTTGTTGAAACGAAATGGGCCATTATTCCGGGTGCTGGTGGTACACAGCGACTTCCAAGAATAATTGGACCTGCTAAAGCAAAAGAACTCATTTATACTGCACGTTTAATCGATGGTGAAGAAGCCATGAAGATTGGTTTAATAAATGAAGTAGTCCAACAAAATAAAGAAGGGGATGCTGCTTATCAGGCTGCTTTATCTATAGCCAGAGAAATTTTACCTAATGGGCCACTTGGAGTAAAGTGAGTACAGAACACAAATCCTACTAAATCTCAGTACTTGTTCTATATTTTAACTTTCTGTTTGGTATTTTATTAACTATCGTATGATCTAAAAAAGCAATTTTTTATTTACATAAAATTTTGTATCAATTTAAAGTTTATATTTAAAAAAAAAACATTTATTTTTTTCTATGTTTAGAGTGGCAAAAACAGCAATATCAAAAGGTCTTCAAGGAACTATTTCAGATGGTCTTGAAATTGAAACTCAATGTTACAATGAAATTGTTCATTCAAAAGACAGAGTTGAAGGACTTGCTGCATTTGCAGCAAAACGTATGCCTGTGTATCAGGGAATATAAACACAAAACTAATGTACATTATTACTTACGCTTAATGGACATATCAAAAACATATATTTTAATATTGATATTAAGTGCTGGAAATATGCCATTTTTTTACACTACATCATTTTATAATTAACATTCATATACATATATTTATATAAAGTCCATCACATTTACATTTGGAAAAACAGGTACAAAGATAATGTATAAAACTTTGACCTTAATTTTTAATAATTTTTAATAATTTTATATGTAATTTACATTAATCTTAAGAAGAATAATCTATGTCATGTTTAATTTCTCAGAGCATTATATATTTTACACTAATTGTTATTGTTGATACATATGTACATATATACATAGAATTTTATTTTTATAAAATAAAAACGTTTGTAACAAATAGAAACATTTATAACATTGATCTTTTTAGATTCTAAATAAGAAATAAAGTTGTTTACAAAAATAATTTAAAAAACTTTTTTTAATAAACATTTTTATTTTGCTTAAGAAATATACATTTATTTATAGATTTTATTTGGGAATGACAAATTATACACTTACTAGTAAAAATATCTAGTAATTAAAAAAAAATAAAATTTAATATAATTTGTAAAAATACTTTTTGTTTATTAAGTCAAATATTTGATGCACTAACTCAATACTTTTTTGTATGTATAAAGCTCTTTATACAATTTATACAAAAGGAATTATTAACACATCCTCATAGGAAGCAACTATATTTGTTAATACATATTTATAATATACTATACTGCATACCTTGATACTTTCATATAATAACAGAAAAAAAGTAAAAGAAGCACCCTGCTTTTTAAACTGTAATTTAAATAAACAAAATTGAACAAATTACTGCATTATGCACACTGCATAGGAAGAGAGAATTGCTCTCTGTCTTTCTGCTCTTTAACAACTGCCATAAGAACTTTAAGTTGATTGATTGTGTCTTCTGGACAACTCACACGATGACCAATGGTCAAATCACTTTCATAAATTTCATAGTCATTACCACCTTCCATTGTTTTGTCACCAAAGAAATGTATTTCATCATATCCTTGAATGTGTCTGAGACAATATGTTTTATCCCAACCAATAGGAAACACATCAAAAGATATTTGACCACCTTGATATACAAAATAAAAGAAATTTTTTTGTTTAAAATCTAAATTAACTATCAATTTCTCAAATTGGAAATAGTTTTCTAAATATAATTTACATTTTCATATTAAATCTTACTTACCAATACTGTATCTTAAAGCAAGATCTGGAAATTCTTTTTTAAGAGCTTGAATAAACTTCTGACGAACTTGATTTTCAATGTCATATTCATAAAACTGAATACGTTCTTCTTGGGTACAATTACGACCCACAGGTGACACATTAATCATTCCTGTTCTAAATTCTATAAAAGTACCACGTTTAAATGGTAAATGTAATTCAGATATATACTTCAAACAAAAGTTTATGAACTCCTGCAATTTCTCTTCTCCAATAATACTCTGAATTGTCTAAAACATGAAATTGATTTGAAATAAATAGTGTGAATGATGTAAATTTTACTTTAACTTGTATGTTTAATAATATCACTTACTTCTGTAGGTAATTGTTTACCATCATGGAAAGCAATAAGTCCATTCTCTGCAAAAACATATTTATATTTATCAAATATGGTTCCTCCACCCAGTTGTTCTTTCAATTTTTCTATATCTGATCCTCCAACAACAGATATATCAAATTCTTTTTGAACAGTATCCAAAATAAATTTTTCCACGTCTGGCTTAATCACCTATTAAAGTGTTCAATTAAAATTAATATAGTTTAATAAATATTTTTATTATACATTGTTTATACCTGTCTAGGATCAGTGAGAGTTCCATCGACATCAAACAAACATATTATCTTCTTGGACATGGTAAAATGACTTCTCTCAATTAATTAATCTGAAACATATGTTTCTAAATTAAATCCTTTAAAAGCAAAAATAGAAAATGTTATCAAAAAACACAAGAATAAGCAATAAGAATTTTTTAATATATACCAGAAACCAATATAAATAATCTTTACTATCATTTTTTAATCTTCAAAAAATTGTAGTAAAATGTGAATAATCTATAAGTCACATGCTTTTCCATCATCTATATATACAAAATTTACTTTTCTCTTTGACAGTGAGATTCATTTGTTGAATACACTTAAGTTCTAGATTTCTAGATCGACAAACAGAATAAAAACAACTCCTTTTACTCACATGTTTAAAAATACGTAAAAGTTGGAAAATTTATTTTAATGTACTTGTTAAACTTTGCATACAAATACATAACATATCAATAGTGACATATAACCTAATATAACAAAAATACTAAAAGAAAAGTTAGTTACATCATTTTGGCTGTATAGGAATTGATACTTTTTTCTTCTGTTTCTGTCGATCTTGAAATAAAAAAGAAAAAAAAAACGAATAAAATGAAAAAAGTACAGACAGTGCAGTTTAATACGTGGCTAGTTTGACGCCCTCTTTATGGGTTCTATATAATCCGCTCGCACACGGCTATAATATCGAAAAGAATGTTATTGAATAAATTATATCGCTTTATTTATCTTATCTCATTTACTTTACATCATGTAAATGCAAACAAAGCACTGCCGAAAAATGCTATTTTACTTTTGGGTAAGTATGATTTATAAAAAATAAAAATTTCAATGCAATGATATTATAAAATATTACTAATTTAAAAAATCCTTAATTTAACGTTTATGCAAAATATACTCCATTTGATATTTGTTTGAAAAAATTAAATTTGTAATCAGTATACTTTCTCTGTGACAATATCTTTGAATTAAAAATGGCAAATTTGTTATACTTTTACAAATCTGCATTTATATTTAATTTTATTTTTATATAGCTGATGATGGAGGATTTGAAATGCGATCCTATTTAAATAAAATTTGCCAAGCACCTAATCTAGATAATTTAGCAAAAGAAAGTTTACTATTTAACAATGCGTATACTTCAGTGAGCAGTTGTTCTCCAAGGTATAATTTTAGTTTGAATCATAATAATTACTATTTACAAATAGCATAGATATTTTTCATTCTTAATTTTTAGTCGTTCTTCTTTACTCACTGGGTTACCCAGTCACCAAAATGGAATGTATGGTCTTCATCATGGAATTCATCATTTTAATTCATTCGATAATGTTCAAAGTTTACCAAAAATATTGAAAAATCATAATATAAGAACAGGTACTTTCACAATCAACAATTATAGTAATTTAATATTAGAGAAATTATGTATTCAACACTTTGCATAATTTGTAGGTATTATTGGCAAAAAACATGTAGGACCAAGTGATGTATATCCATTTGACTACTCACAGACAGAAGAAAATAATTCTATACTTCAAGTTGGCAGAAATATTACCAAAATTAAGCTCTTAGTAAGAGAATTCCTTTCCCAGAATAAAACCCAGTACGAACATATTATACTTCATATTATTTTATGTCTGTTGATACAACAGTACTACCAAAGTATATTAGTTACTCCATCATTAAAATTAACTAGAAAAACAGGAAGCTTAAACAGGACTTAAATTTTTAGACCATTCTTCTTATATGTTGCATTTCATGATCCTCATCGATGTGGTCATACACATCCAGAATATGGAAATTTTTGTGAAAAATTTGGGAATGGAGATGTTGGTATGGGCACTATTCCTGACTGGAATCCAATATATTATCAATGGGATCAGGTGAAAGTTCCTTACTTCGTTCAATATACAGAAGCTGCTAAGCGAGATATTGCCGCTCAATATACAACTATTTCTCGTTTGGATCAAGGTACACTAAATAATATTTTTTATTAATTTAAAGTTAAAAAATTCTAATATAATCTAAAGTATAAGGTCAAAATAATTTTATATTTACTACATACATTAACAATAATAATATTTAAAAAATTAATAACAAAATGTTGAAATTGTAAAGGTGTAGGTTTAGTTTTGAAGGAACTGGAGGATGCTGGTTTTAAAGATAATACTCTAGTAATCTACACATCTGATAATGGTATACCATTTCCAAGTGGTCGAACAAATTTATATGAACCAGGTATTAAAAAAATATTTAAGTTATTACATAATCAGGAATGTAATTAATCTTTTTATATTAGGACTGGCAGAACCTATGATGATTCGGTCGCCAATTGCTAATCATAGGAAAAATAGTGTAACACACAGCTTAACATCCTTACTAGATATTGTACCAACATTACTGGATTGGTTTAACATACCCTATACGAATCAATCCAATACTTCATTTGATGCAAATGGAGCACATCCTCATTTAACAGGAAAATCACTTCTTCCACTTCTTGTTGAAGGTAAATTTAGACTATCCTACCTTCATTGACTTAGACTAAATTTCTAATGTTATCTCTTTGTGTGTCTGAAAACAGAACCCATTGAAAATAATACAGCTGTTTTTGCTAGTCAAACACATCATGAAATTACTATGTATTACCCCATGCGTGCTATTAGAACTAAAAGATACAAACTCATACATAACATAAATTACAAAATGCCATTTCCTATTGATCAGGATTTCTATGTATCACCAACCTTTCAGGTAATCTATAAACAAATCAATATCATGTTACCATTAATATTATTATTAAATGATGTGTATGAACATTGTTGAATACACATATTTTTTATTTTCTTTATAGGATCTTTTGAATAGAACTAGACAGAAAGAACCACTTAAGTGGTACAAAACACTAGAAACCTATTATGAAAGACCAGAATGGGAATTATATGACTTAAAATATGATCCAGAAGAGAGAAATAATATTGTCTTTAAACCAACTGCAAAGGTAGATAAAAAAAGAATCAAAGTACTTCGTGTGTATTAAACTCAAATAAGGGTTGACTCCTTTAACTATATCTAAATATTTTTTAGCAAACATTTATTGACTTGCAAGAAAGACTATTTAATTGGCAGAAAGTAACCAATGATCCATGGCTCTGTGCACCAAGCGGAGTTCTTGAAAACATTGGAACTAAGAGTTCTCAATGTATGCCACTTGAAAACTTTATTTAAGAAGGATTTATTAAAGAGTTCCTTATAATAACATTAGCCTCGCTTTGAATTATGTAGACTGCAGCAACATTCATATTTATACATATTTTGATACAATTTTGATAATAAAAATATAAAAAAACTATACAAGTTGTTTGTCAAACCTTTGATCAAACTTTTTCAGCCTAATTTATTCAAAATAATAAATGTATTTATTTACATTTCAATAATTGAATGTCAACATAACTGCATAAGCACAATATATAGTTTATCAATAAATTTAATAATACTGTTTCTAAACTCTTACCTGTTGCAATATTTTATAGTGAAAGAGTAGGATGTGCTATAGAAATATTTTTTATATCCTTTTCTCGCCGTCTTGAAAGAATCTCATTTAACTGATGAAGATAAATTGAAGACTTGTATGCAGATTTCTCTACTGCTTTTAATTCCGTTGATATTTCATTCATCTAAAATATCGTCGAACAGATTATGAATTATCATACCCCAATTGCTAGATACATAAATCATGTACTTGTGAAGACTTACATATTCTTTGTAGCCCAAATATCTGTTGTATTTTTTATTGTTATTATAAATTTGTTTAACTTGTATCATAAAAACGAGGCATAGTAAAAGACCACCGAGTAATACAAGTAAATTTGTATTTTGAAAACCACGTAAAACAAGCATTATTCACGTTGAGGTTATTCTTATTATTGTGCGGTGCAAACGACTGGATAAGTGTCACGAAAAACGTAACTCAAAAATACTTTTAACCGAACATACTTATAATAAAGTTAGGAACTTTAAGTGGTTACATTTGTAAATATTTCGTTTACAAAATAATCATTGTATCAAGATACAAAATACTCCTCCCTATGATATAATTTTTAACATTTTGAAGGCGCTGCTGTTTTATTCTAGTTTGTTAGGGGATTCGGTGGAACTTCGGAAAACCGTCATGCTCCGGCATCAACAAAATTTAGCAAAAATGCTCTTTTATCTTAATATTAATTAATATGTAATAAATACATGGTATATTAATCAATAAAATCAGTATTAATTGAATTTTTTGAAAATTGAACCTGTAGTGCCATCTCTCCGGCGAACAGGGTGAACTACACACTTTTGAAACTGTAGTTTAATTAATTTTCAGCTTCTACCCCTAGATGACGGCACATAAGACCCAAAACGATACATGTAGCACCATCTAGGGGTAGAATTTGGGAACTAATTAAACTGCAGTTTCAAAAGTGTGTAGTTCACCCCGTTCGCCGGAGAGATGGCACCACTTTCCATTTTCGAAAAACCTACCAATGCAATGTGCATCATACATATATATAATAAAGAGAGAAGGGGAAGTCCCTACTAGTTTGGTTATATCTGACCGGTGATCCACGTGTTTTTGTTTTTAGAAAGATTATTGTTATGATTGAAGATAAATGTTGGAATTGTAGTTGCTATTTATTATAAGCAATAAAATTACAGAGAAACTATGTCTAAACGAAAACTTAATAATGTAGGAGAATGGAAGCCTTTAAAGTTAGAAGGCTCTGCATTTTTTGGTGATGTTGATGGTTTAATTGGTATAGAAGAATTAACTGATTATAATTTAGAACAAGAAAATGGGAAAAAAGTTGTAACTTGCAGCAAAGATAGTAACAATGAAAAGTCTAAGGTAGGAATAATATTGCTTTGTACATTGACTGTCACATTGAAAGCTATCGCATGTGATTAGAATTTATAATAATTATTATTAAGGACATAAGTTGTAACCACTTAATATGTGTTATAGGGATCTTTAAAGCGTAAACATTTGAACAAATGGCAAGAAAATGATATAGACATTGCTGAACCAGCAACAAAAAAAGCAATAATCAAAAAAAGTAAAGAAAGTCTTCCTAAGAAGAAGAATGTTAAAAAAGTATTAAAGTCTAATTCCCAAAATAGTACAAATGATAATGCTGATACAAAAGGAAAACTTTCCAATGAATGCAACAGTAATAGTGATAATGAGGATGATGATTATTACATTTATATTCAAAAATGGGGCAGATTAGGTTTATATGCTCCTATAATAAAGGCAATGAAAGATCAACAATTTCATACACCTACTCCTATACAAGCATTAACTTTACCACCAGCGATAATGGGATATAGAGATATATTAGGTGCTGCTGAAACGGGTAGTGGGAAAACATTAGCATTTGGAATTCCAATTATAAATGGCATTTTAGAATTAAAAAATAGACAAGTAGATAAATCAGATATAAAACCTATAAATGGAACAGGTAATAATATTGAAAATAAAGGTTGGATTTGTTCAGATAATGAAATGAAAGATGATGATAGTTCATCTGAAACTGATCATGAAGAAGACATTGATGATGTTAATGAAAATAATATTGGTTGTATACGTGTAATTGATAAGGTAAAAATTAATGAAGATGAACATTATGTTAAAAAACCATTATATGCACTGATATTAACACCGACCCGTGAATTAGCTATACAGATAAAAGATCATCTTACGAAAGCAGCTAAATATACTGACATTAAAGTAAGTTAGTAAAATAATTAATTACTGAAAATTTAAGATATTTTGATGTCTAAACATTGATATTATTTAGATAGCTGTACTATTGGGTGGACTAGCTGCAGTTAAACAGGAAAGAATATTGAGTAAGGGTCCTGAAATTGTTATTGCCACACCTGGTAGATTATGGGAATTGATACAGCAAGGAAATCCACATCTTAACCAGGTGGATTCTATTAAGTAAGTGATATTAATCTCTTGATCAAATTTTTAATTACTAAAAGTTAATTATATGTAGAATTTTATTTTACTTTTGTATTGTAATCTGAAATAGATATTTAGCCATTGATGAGACAGACAGAATGTTAGAAAAAGGACATTTTCAAGAACTGCAGCAATTGTTGGAAAAGATAAATATTAATAAGAAAAAACGGGAAGAACGACAAAACTTTGTGTTTTCGGCTACATTAACCATGGTGCACGATATTCCAGATTATTTACAAAAAAAGAAAAAGAAACACAATAGTAGTAAAATATTCAAGCTTACACCTGGACAAAAATTACAAAAAATTATACAACTGGTAGGAATGAAGACTCCAAAAGTTGTTGATGTTACAAGAGAATCAGGTAATTATATACTAAAGAAATTAAAACAGTATAATTAGCATAATAATATATAAAATAATATTTTTTTAGGTACTGCTAGTAATTTAACAGAATGTAAAATAGCATGTACAATCGATCACAAAGATTATTACTTGTACTATTTTTTGAAGAGGCATGCGGGTAGAACATTGGTATTTTGTAACAGTATTGGTTGTGTAAAACGTTTAGCTACCCTTTTTGGAATACTAGATTGCAAACCTTTACCTCTGCATGCTAGTATGCAACAAAGACAACGACTAAAAAATCTTGAAAGGTAAAAACACCTTAACATATTCAGAATTTTCAAAGTACTGAAAAAAGAATGTAGGTTTCAGGCAGATGAGAATGGAGTATTAATAGCCACTGATGTAGCCGCTAGGGGTTTAGATATTCCAAATGTTGAGCATGTCATACATTATCAAGTTCCCAGAACCAGTGAAGTATGTAGAGATAAACACGTAATGTTTGTCGTAAAAGAAACTAGTTTTATCTGTATTTTTAATTGTTTTTAGAGTTATGTACATAGAAGCGGAAGAACAGCAAGAGCGTTAAAAGAAGGTATAACGGTTCTGATGATGGAACCTTCTGAAAAACAATACTACACTAAATTATGTAAAACACTTGGACGTAGTAAGTGAATAAATAATATTAATTATTGGTGAATAATACTAACTAAAGATGTACAGTCGAAAGCTAATACAACTATTTTAATTATAGCTGAGGATATACCTACATTTCCTGTAGTAGATAGATTGTTAATGGCAGTTAAAGAAAGGGTAGATATTGCTCGAGAAATCGATAAATTGGAATTAAAATGTCGTAGAGATAATTCCCAAAAGGGTTGGTTACGTAAAGCTGTTGAAGATCTGGATTTAGTGTTGGAAGAGGATGAAGAGTAAGATCTGACATAACAAAAATTATTAATAGTTAAACATATTTTTTGATGGTATAATTATATTTTTCAGGGATGTAGCATTAGAAACAAAAGAAGCAGCAGATTTAAGACATCAATTAAAAATAAAGAAGCATCAACTGACATCACTCATGTCAAAACCATTATTTCCAAAAGGTTTCTCTGGAAAATATCCTGACATGAATATGGACTTGGATATAAATCAAAGCAATCAGAAAGCTGTTGATATAATGAAGAATGTTATAGAAACAATTCCCGAGAAGAAAAAGGAAAGGAATAAGAAAAGTGCTAGTAAAAAGGTTTTGCATAAACGCAAAGTATTTAAAAAATCAAATAAAAAGAAAACATAACGATATATTTTTAATAAAGAAACATGCATATAAATAAATACTTCATCAATTCTTTTCCACAAATTTATTCATTTATTTCCTGCGTAATAAAATAAAATTTTTCAAAGAATGATTTTCATTTTTCTGCAAATATTACATCAATTTCTTCTTTTTTTAAGTTGAGCCATTTATTCTTAACAACTAGTTGATCTTGTTACAAATTGTTAGTACGTATGGCAGGAATATTTACATGCAATTATTACGAATTTTATCATAATACACATTATCTCGTAGTACCTTTTTTATATATAATGTACAAATTGAATTGATACAACTGTACGTTGATAAAAATAATCAACGAGTTTCTCGATCATCATCAAACACAGCCGGTTAACTTATGATAATAGAAATGTTCGATGCTTAAAATATCGTGTTATATATAACTTCGTCTTCCGTGCTGATAATCGAATCGATTTGCTCGGTCGGTACCATCGAATTCATATATCTCTCGTTGCTGATCCTGCCCGTCATGGGCGAATCACGTCCCTTCACGACGATTTTGATCCTGGCCATCACGTGACTTCCAGGACACTTCTGGACCTGTGCAGCGGCGTTCTCGCAAATCTCCGTGTAAATGTCGTCAGCTTTGGTCTTGGTTAACTTAGGAAGGGATGGCACTGGTGTAAGACTATCTCTAACTCGAGAATAATTCGGCTGCAACTCGACGTTCGTCGGCATTTCTAAAACACTAGTGGACGCCGATCTTTGTACAGGTTGCTTGGACGAGTTCGAATGACTGGGATGAGAGGTAGTTTCTGGCTCTAAACTGGAATAACGTTCTTGGCACCTCATCGCGATTTCCGGTTTCACCGCGAACGTGAACGAAGCCGACTTTTTCGCGGGATTTCTGCTACGACCGCCTTGAGCGAATTTCGATATTCGATCTAACAGTCCGTTTTTGCAGTTCTGCCTAGTTTGACTTTTCTCTCGAACGGTGCTCTTCTTCAACTGTTCCAATCCGTCCTTCAAACTTTGCAGGATTGGTTTCGTGTCCGGCTTCGGCTTGATCTTCTTCAGGTGCATCTCCTTCAGATTTTCGCTGGTTGGGTGCAGTTTTAGAGGTGCCACTCTTGGTTCCGTTGCACGATCTCCGACAGCACGACTGGAGTGGAAGAACAGGTTAAACAACATAGAATACGTATGTATATATATATATTTATAAATGTTTGCATCTTCGAATATCGTGATAATACGGGACATGCTACGGTATATTATGCTCTATCAGTGATTTTACGCGTGTAATGTACTTCAATTCGTTAATCTGTCTTTGCTTCGTGTTAATCGAGTGACTGATTTATACGATCGATTTTTCGAATTTTGTTAATGATATGCATTAATGTAAAGTATTTTTATTATCTTATGACTTTGATTCTATCATTTTATCATATAATTATAATGTTAATTTAGTATTTTTGTTAATTAAGAATATCGACTATGCTTCATTATCGAATTATATATATATAATTCGATAATTTGAATATACATATATGTATATATAGTCACGTGACGTGATTGTTCTCGTACCAACTCATCATTTAAGACAGTGTCATTTTCCCGGGCTTTTTGCCAACATTAAAAAGTGAACTGCGTACCTGCAGGCAGACAATAATCGTTGCATCTTCGGCGACGCTAAAAGTCGAGCTTCGGATGGATAACCTAATCGCGCCCGTCTAACTCTAGGAGCACCGTTTCCAGTCACAACAAGTTCAAGCATTTCTGGATTATGAACAGGTCTTTCTGGTACGATACATCCTAAAACAATTGGACCTCGAGTCGAACTTTCCAGTTGCATTAAACCACCATATTCTCTTGGTAAAGGTACAGGCAATGGTCCGGCTATTAAACGAACCTGAAAAGGAAAAGCATCTTCAAATAATTTCAAGTAAGAGTGAGTTACAATAAAAATTACATTTAATATTATTTATTAACAATTATGTATTTTTGATCTATTACAAATCGATGAAATATATGGTGGACATAATATACGCAATTGACTGATTCAAATATCCCGCCGTATATTTGGCGGGATAGAATGGCGAAACACTTGCAACGGTCAAATATATATCGTTCGTTCTTTTACGTATTTTGTACAATTAGCGTGTGCATTTAATATGTTCAATGTTAAGAGAATGCTAGGTAATCAAATATTTAGTGGTCCAGATATTTTAAATAATGAAAAATACATGTAATATGTATAATTGTTTACTGAATTCAATTTTGCAGGTTCGGTACTAATTTTACGAAATGTACAGTGCAGCACGAAAGCAATGACGTATTATTTATGAGCTGCAATGATCGAATAGGTAAGTTTTAATACATATACGAGTAGCTACTACAGATTATTTAATAAAAATTTATATTGTTAATGTAATATTATTTTTTAACGAAAGTAATGAGTGTGTTTCAATTAAATAGGTTAAATAATAGAGCTGCAAAGTGATTTTACCCTAAGCGGTAACGGTCTTTTCGCAAGATGGTGCACCTTGTACAACATCGCATCGCTTCCTGTGTCGATGCTTCCGTTCTGGCAAATAGCGTAAAATTCGCCTCTCGCCGACAAGGGAGCAAATACTTCACGACCATATGCATCCAAACACTGTGCATATTGATCCTTTTCGGAAGAGCTACCCGATATTCCGAAAGAAACCGTGTTGCACTTCCTGGTGTCCTGGAAGACCGCTATTAATCGCAGAATTTCCCCAGCTCTGATTGTAGTCTTCGTATAATGAGCTCGCAGATTACCGTTTTCTGTAATTGCATGATAATTTTTTAATTAGAAACTTACTATTATAAACAATATTATCTTAATATTAACTAATTTTATCTCAACGTTATCTTAATATTATTTAAAAATTAATATTAATTAAATTTATTGTTAATTTATCTGTATTTATAATTTTTTTTTAATGTTTATTTATTATACACTTTACTATTTATTACAATATTAAAATTAGAACTAAGTAGATTATAATTTAAATCATTGTTAGGTATGTAATTATAATTTAATTATCTAGTGAAACATCCGATACATATTTTTTCAGATTGGTGAAGTTGTTGAGATAAAGAATATAATATTTCAAGTGAGCTGTTTCTGGATGTAAATATTGCAGATTTGGAAAGGTATCAACAATTGGCTGTTACAAAATGACTGAACTCAGGTATTTAAATTAAATAATTATAAAAATTTAGGAAATGTTACAACAATAAGATATTGAAATTACAAATTGCCGTAATGGAGGCTGTAAGTAGAATTACCAAGCGAAAAGTGCATAAGTAGAATAGCACCACATATGTCAGACATTCACCGCAGTAATAAAGAGATCGGCTATTAACCTCTACAAAACATTTTTCCGCGATCTTTAATATTTCCGATTAAAAATTTTAATATCTGTCGTAAAGTATAATTCCGCATAAAACAAGCAGAAACATAAAACATGCTTTTCTTCTAGTATAAACAAGGAAATTAAAGAAGCAAAGTACTAATATTAAAATATTATAAAAATGTCTGATGTATGTTTTTTGATTTATCATTAATGGTTATAAAGCGAAATGAAATCATAATATTGTTGTTGTATGTCTATTATGTCATTGCACGATTAATATCCGCTTCTATGCACTCCATTTACTGCATTTAAATCTCTGCTACCGTTTCAAACATGTAATTTTCGCATTCCTTTTTTTTTACGGAGTCAGGTTATGCACGCTGATATTTATATGCATTTAGGTCAAGAACATCGTGCCTGGACATTACGATACTGCGTTCACGTTGGTTATTAGTTTCCTTCTTTTTACTTCTGCTCGCTAGTTTTTGCCTCCACTCTTTTATGTTCTTGCTAGTCATTTTTTGCTGCAACCTTTTTATTCTTACGTTTCCTTTTTTCGGTAAACAGTTGTAATGTATCGATTGCGCATGTGTAAGAGGATTCATAATAACTGCATCTACATATGTTAATGACGGAGAATTATGCTTTATATATGAATATGTATATATTTTGTTAGAGGCTATAGATTATTTATTGTTAACGAAAATAGCTTTGAATGTTAAACTTGATCATTGATCACTGAGGGTTTTATTTTTTATTTCTTTTCTGTTTTTTTAGTAATTCTATTCATACTATAGATTATTTATTGTTAACGAAAATAGCTTTGAATGTTAAACTTGATCATTGATCACTGAGGGTTTTATTTTTTATTTCTTTTCTGTTTTTTTTTAGTAATTCTATTCACACCGACTATTGAATTGTTCTTACTCACCCATTTTCGAGTGAGTCAAAATGTACGCTCGCAAAGGTGCAGCCAAAAGGAATGCAGGTACTCCTGCTCGAACCAGAGAGTCTACTCTTCTGTAAACTCTCGCATTACCCGTTGTATTGTTGCCAGATATCACAGAAAACCATCCTGAAATAAACAAAAAAAAATAAATTTGAGTTTTAATTATAAATATAGCATGAGAAAAGTTTGATCAAATTTCGCTTTTGAACGTCGATTGAATTCAAATTGATGGATTACCTATTTTACCCTTAAAACTTTCTTAGATGTTATACAATTGTATCAATTTTAGCTTGTCTAAGTCAATTCAGTTGGATATTTATGAAGATAATGAAAATTGTATATTTCAACTGTTTGGAATTTACACTTTACTTATATTTTTAATGTTTTTATATACTAATATTATTATGAAATTTACTTTTATTAAATGAAATTTATATTTTAATAATACAAATGATAAAGATTTAATTGCAGGTACAGTACAATTGACCAAATTATTAGTCAAGTTAAGAAATTTAATTAAATCAACTAGTTGAATTGAAATTAATTAATTGGTATAATCAAATGGAATTAAAGGAACTACAATTAACTGATACAATTAAATTGGTATAAATGGAATTGGAATTAACTAACTGGTACACTTAAATTGGAAATAATTAATTAGTACAATTAAATATAATTGAAGTAATTGGATTCAATTAATTGGTACAATTAAATAAACTCTTGGGGTTGAAATTAATTAATTGGTATAATTAAATGGAATTAAAGGAACTACAATTAACTGATACAATTAAATTGGTATAAATGGAATTGGAATTAACTAACTGGTACACTTAAATTGGAAATAATTAATTAGTACAATTAAATATAATTGAAGTAATTGGATTCAATTAATTGGTACAATTAAATAAACTCTTGGGGTTGAAATTAATTAATTGGCTATAGATTATTTATTGTTAACGAAAATAGCTTTGAATGTTAAACTTGATCATTGATCACTGAGGGTTTTATTTTTTATTTCTTTTCTGTTTTTTTTTAGTAATTCTATTCACACCGACTATTGAATTGTTCTTACTCACCCATTTTCGAGTGAGTCAAAATGTACGCTCGCAAAGGTGCAGCCAAAAGGAATGCAGGTACTCCTGCTCGAACCAGAGAGTCTACTCTTCTGTAAACTCTCGCATTACCCGTTGTATTGTTGCCAGATATCACAGAAAACCATCCTGAAATAAACAAAAAAAAATAAATTTGAGTTTTAATTATAAATATAGCATGAGAAAAGTTTGATCAAATTTCGCTTTTGAACGTCGATTGAATTCAAATTGATGGATTACCTATTTTACCCTTAAAACTTTCTTAGATGTTATACAATTGTATCAATTTTAGCTTGTCTAAGTCAATTCAGTTGGATATTTATGAAGATAATGAAAATTGTATATTTCAACTGTTTGGAATTTACACTTTACTTATATTTTTAATGTTTTTATATACTAATATTATTATGAAATTTACTTTTATTAAATGAAATTTATATTTTAATAATACAAATGATAAAGATTTAATTGCAGGTACAGTACAATTGACCAAATTATTAGTCAAGTTAAGAAATTTAATTAAATCAACTAGTTGAATTGAAATTAATTAATTGGTATAATCAAATGGAATTAAAGGAACTACAATTAACTGATACAATTAAATTGGTATAAATGGAATTGGAATTAACTAATTGGTACACTTAAATTGGAAATAATTAATTAGTACAATTAAATATAATTAAAGTAATTGGATTTAATTAATTTGTACAATTAAATGCTGGACATGCAACTGAACTTAATTAATTGATACAATTAAATAGAATTAATCATTCGGTACAATTAAACGAAATTAATTAAATAAAAAATAATTTAGTATAACAGAATAAATTCACAAAAATTAAATTCTACATTATATATCAAAACCAAAGAAAATTACTTGGAATTTCATTACAGAATTTTATCCTATTGCCATCTTTAAATTTTTACTCAAATCCATCTCTTAAATATCCAATTCATAATTGACCGAAGGAAAGCAAACAAAAAATGAAAACTACCAAGAAATGTTGCAAGAGTATGATAATATTTAATAGAGAGGTTCTCGTAGAAGTAATAGGCGTGTAGCAATAATACTTTCTACAATTGAATGCAAATTTTCCCGCTCAATTGCTTCGGAAATAATGATATTCAGACGCAGGACAGCCATTCATTGGGTTGTTTGTAATGTGCTAATGTAATTTATCGACAAAGAAAGTGGCATTTACGTTTTATTATTGTCAGATTTTTCACTCAAACCCTTATAAATCAATGTCTGATTCAAACACGCTAATAAATTTCAAGCTTATGTAAATATTTCATTTAGACTCGAGCCACGTTATTAACATTCTTAAACTTTATTACCTGCTCTTCATTTTCGTTCAAAAATTTCATTAATATTGTATGTTCATATGTAAATTTAATTTTGACTGTTGCAATAATTTTATAAAATTTTTTAAAATAATAAATTAAACCGGGCATATTAAAGTTATTTATATTACATGTAATATTATCATATACTATTTATGTTATTTATATAATTTATTATTGTTCATTTATTCATAGCACTTAGGTTTGAAAAGTATTGGTATTTTTCGTTCAGCTAATTCCTAATAGCGATATGTAAGTTTGATTCTAACTGCAAAACTTCTTAATTTTCAGCTAATTTTCAGTATTAAAATTAAAGTTTAATTCTAACCTCTCAGCTCTTTAATTAATTGATTGATTGATTGATTATTGTTGTCGACGTCGACTAATTAGTTCCTTAATGGTCAGCTAATTTTCAGTATTAAAATTAAAGTACAATTCTAACCTCTCAGCTCCTTGATGTTCAGCTAATTTTCAGTACTAAAATTAATGTTTAATTCTAACCTCTTAGCTCCATAATGTTCAGCTCATTTTCAGTACTAAAATTAATGTTTAATTCTAATCTCTCAGCTCCACAATGTTCAGCTAATTTTCAGTACTAAAATTAATGTTTAATTCTAATCTCTCAGCTCCATAATGTTCAGGTAATTTTCAGTACTAACATTGATGTTTAATTCTAACCTCTCAGCTCCGTAATGTTCAGCTAATTTTCAGTACTAAAATTGATGTTTAATTCTAACCTCTAAGCTCTGTAATGATCAGCTAATTTTCAGTACTAAAATTGATATTTAATTCTAACCCCTTAGCTCTGTAATGTTCAGCTAATTTTCAGTACTAAAATTGATATTTAATTCTAACCCCTTAGCTCTGTAATGTTCAGCTAATTTTCAGTACTAAAATTGATATTTAATTCTAACCCCTTAGCTCTGTAATGTTCAGCTAATTTTCAGTACTAAAATTGATATTTAATTCTAACCCCTTAGCTCTGTAATGTTCAGCTAATTTTCAGTACTAAAATTGATATTTAATTCTAACCCCTTAGCTCTGTAATGTTCAGCTAATTTTCAGTACTAAAATTGATATTTAATTCTAACCCCTTAGCTCTGTAATGTTCAGCTAATTTTCAGTACTAAAATTGATATTTAATTCTAACCCCTTAGCTCTGTAATGTTCAGCTAATTTTCAGTACTAAAATTGATATTTAATTCTAACCCCTTAGCTCTGTAATGTTCAGCTAATTTTCAGTACTAAAATTGATATTTAATTCTAACCCCTTAGCTCTGTAATGTTCAGCTAATTTTCAGTACTAAAATTGATATTTAATTCTAACCCCTTAGCTCTGTAATGTTCAGCTAATTTTCAGTACTAAAATTGATATTTAATTCTAACCCCTTAGCTCTGTAATGTTCAGCTAATTTTCAGTACTAAAATTGATATTTAATTCTAACCCCTTAGCTCTGTAATGTTCAGCTAATTTTCAGTACTAAAATTGATATTTAATTCTAACCCCTTAGCTCTGTAATGTTCAGCTAATTTTCAGTACTAAAATTGATATTTAATTCTAACCCCTTAGCTCTGTAATGTTCAGCTAATTTTCAGTACTAAAATTGATATTTAATTCTAACCCCTTAGCTCTGTAATGTTCAGCTAATTTTCAGTACTAAAATTGATATTTAATTCTAACCCCTTAGCTCTGTAATGTTCAGCTAATTTTCAGTACTAAAATTGATATTTAATTCTAACCCCTTAGCTCTGTAATGTTCAGCTAATTTTCAGTACTAAAATTGATATTTAATTCTAACCCCTTAGCTCTGTAATGTTCAGCTAATTTTCAGTACTAAAATTGATGTTTAATTCTAACCTCTAAGCTCTGTAATGTTCAGCTAATTTTCAGTACTAAGATTGATGTTTAATTTTAATCTCTCAGCTCCATAATGTTCAGCTAATTTTATGTACTAAAATTGAAGTTTAATTCTATCCTAAAACCTCCTTGATGTTTTGCCAATTTTCAGCACTAACATTAAAATTTAATTCTAACCTCTCAGCTCTTTGATGTTCAGCTAATTTTCAACACTAAAATTGAAAAGTGGCTGGACGTTATAGAGCTTTGAGGTTAGAATCGAAGTTAAATTTTAGTGCTGAAAATTGGCAGGACATTAAGGAGCATTGAGGTTAGAATCGAAGTTAAATTCTAGTGCTGAAAATTGGATGAACATTAAGGAGCTCTGAGGTTAGAATTAAACTTGAATTTCAGTTGAAATTTGGCTGGATATTATGGAGCTTTAAGGTTGGAATTGAAGTTAAATTTTAGAAAATTAGCTGTACGTTAAGGAGCTTTGAGGTTAAATTGAAGTTAAATTTTAGTGTAGAAAATTGGCTGGACATTAAAGAGCTTTGAGGTTAGAATCGAAGTTAAATTTCAGTGTTGTAAATTAGCTGGACATTAAGGAGCTTTGAAGTTAGAATTAAACTTAAGTTATAGTATTGAAAATTGGCTGGACATTAAGGAGCTTTGAGGTTAGAATGGAAGTTAAATTTTAGTGCTGAAAATTGGATGAACATTAAGGAGCTTTGAGGTTAGAATTAAACTTGAATTTTAGTTGAAATTTGGCTGGATATTAAGGAGCTTTGAGGTTGGAATTGAAGTTAAATTTTAGAAAATTCGCTGTACGTTATGGAGCTTTGAGGTTAAATTGAAGTTAAATTTTAGTGTAGAAAATTGGCTGGACGTTAAAGAGCTTTGAGGTTAGAATCGAAGTTAAATTTTGGTACTGAAATTTGGCTGGTCATTAAGGAGCTTTGAGCTTAGAATTGAAGTTAAATTTTAGTACTGAAATTTGGCTGGACACTAAAGAGCTTTGAGGTTAGAATCGAAGTTAAATTTTAGTGTAGAAAATTATCTGAACATTAAGGAGGTTGGAGGTTCGAATTGAATTTAAATTTTAGTACTCAAATTTGGCTGGACACTAAGGAGCTTTGAGGTTAGAATTGAAGTTAAGTTTTAGTGTTGGAAAGTAGCTGGACATTAAGGAGCATTGAGGTTAGAAATAAAGTTAAATTTTAGTGTTGAAAATTTGCTGAACATTAAGCAGCTTTGAGGTTAGAATTAAACTTGAATTTTAGTACTGAAATTTGGCTGGACACTAAGGAGCTTTGAGGTTAGAATTGAAGTTAAATTTTAGTGTTGGAAAGTAGCTGGACATTACGGAACTTTGAGGTTAGAATTAGAGTTAAATTTCAGTGTTGAAAATTAGCTGAACATTAAGGCTCTTTGAGGATAGACTTAAACTTGATTAAATGTGACAATTTTTCTTTCTATGAATACTAGAATTCTTTTGCAACAAGAAAATCCTAAATATTAAAATTTTCAGTGTGATGTATGTATCATGTTAAGCTCGATAATGAATAATGGATAAGCCCGTAGCAGTATAATGTCAGTAATAAAATGGTGGGCTAAATTGGTCCCAACAAAACAGAATCTGATCGTGCTGCATGTTTCACATTAAATTATCAAGTCAAAGTAGCTGTAAATTAGCGAGCAGAATATCGCGAAATAAAAACAAAAGAAACTGTTTGCCGCACTAAAAATAAATCACATTATACCAGAATACTTTTATCTCGATTTATTATAATCATACAAACGGAACTTTCTTTATAAACACATAAACGCGATACAAAGTAAATTTTTACATTTATATTTCTCGAATCGTAATGTCGAAGTGAACGATGTCTAAGAGAAAAGCGTAAAATCCAGAAAATTAGCATATTTACACGCGTGATAAAATCAT